AAACAAGGAAAGCAAATATGGAGCAGCCAGCCAGCTCTCCACAACTAGCAAGTGTTCCATGGACTGCAGCTTGGAAACAATTGGACTTAGTCAAATTCAATTGTGATACAACTCCACTCACATCAATGAGCTACCTAAATCTGAGGGATCAGAAGTACTTTCCAAATGCCAGGCCTAGTGTGTACCCTTCTTGCTGGGACAAGGCCTGGTGTGAACTATGTCTTCTGAAGTTACCTTGTTTCCTCTGAAAGGAAACCCAGGAACACAAGCAAGAAGGAGTTGTGGGGTTTTACAAGAGTTCAAATTGCAACTTTTTTTCTTTTTTTTCCCCCCTCTTTTTTTTTTTTTTAAACAACTTTTTCCTGGGGTTGCGGGGGAAGGTCTTGCAAATGGTTCAAACATAGTCTGGACAAATAGATTACCAAGACTGCCAGGTGAACCTGCTCTACAGCTGAGGCAGACCCACTGAAACCTTTTCTTTTAACATGATCACCATTTCAGAATAAGTTTGACAAATTGTGAAAACAGCCCAGAATTATCACAGTGAAATTCAATAATGACAAGTGTAAAGCATCATATACAGGAAGGAAGAAAAATCTAATAGACAAGCACAAAGCATCTGGGGCTCAGAGTGCATAGTTTAATGCAAGACAACATGCAACATCTTACAAAAAAAGCACATTGTTCTGGGCTGCATTAACAGCCATATGATATATATGTAAGAGACCGTTATAAAAATGGTTATAGAGAGGACAGTAAGCATTCTTCTTGTCCACTGACAGATATCATTCTGTAACAAGAAAAAGTTAGATTAGATATTAGAGAGGACTTTTTGACCAGAAGGGCAGCTAAGCAGGGCAACACCTGGAAGGCCAACTTGGAAGGAAGGAGGTTAGAATCTACACCGCTAGAGGGCTTTAAGAACAAGTTTGACGTGTATTTGCAAGGTAGGCTTGACCCTGCCAGAGGGCAGAAAGGTTTGACTAACAATCCTGTGGTTCCTGCCCAATAATTCATATTTAACCTCAAAGTTCCCCACAAATCCAACCACTTCTTTCTTCTAGAGTCAGAGCGTTTACAACAAAGATGAAGAATCATGAAAGCACAGTTATGAAGGCAATTCAAAAGCATTTTACACTTCTTGTATGAACAACTTTTTCACATTCCCTATTTGACCCTGCAGGACACATTGCACTCAATCTTTAGCTTTGGCAATGTGATACATTTGTGATAAATGTGACATAAATATTTCTAACCTGAAAATTGGAAAGTCTCTTGTCCCCTAACACAGAGGAATTCTGAGTGGAAAAAAAAAAAAAAGATGGAGGAAGAGTAGTTCTCCTAAACCACTACTGTTCTCTAGGAATATCTCCTCTTATACTCCTGCAAAAGTCCCCAGAGCGGCAGCAGTTCAGGCACAGATTGCTCACAAAAATCTTGTTCCGCGTGCATGTGTATAATCCCAGCCAGGGGCTTGCAAGAGTCTTCCAAGCCTGGAATATTTACCTACTGTGACTGTTCTGCGGGAAAATAAAAATGGAATATACAGCTGGAATGGGCACATGCAGTAGAAATCCTATGAGTACATTATTTTTAAATGGCAAATTTCAACTGATAGAATCAATTTAAATAAAACTATGGAAAGGCATTCAAGTATATAACTTGAACAGTCCTCAAAGCTCCTTGCTAGCTTCCTGTCCCCAAAGCCCAAAGTGGTCTTGGGCAACTTTTAAACCAAGCTGCTTCTTCAAAAGGTCCAGGTAGTTCTGTGGAGACAGAACAGTTCCAAGTACAGCAGCACCTTTCGAATGAAAAGATCAGCGATCTAGGAAATATTTGTGACCAGCAGCGGATTTAGCCTCAGAAGATGACAGATTTCAGGATCAGTCACAAACACCCTATTTGATCCTGAGAAAACTGTTTCATCTACCTTATGCATCATAAGGTAGATGCATATGCACCTTATGCATCCGTAAACAGGGGAATAAGATACTACTGCTAATCATAATGCTTTCTTAAGCTTACACAGGTATCACAAGAATAAAATATGGGAGTTACCTATCGTGGACAAATTTGTAATTATGGTAATAAGACCTCTATACTTGAAAGAAAACTAACAGCTGTAACTTGAATCGGAATGACTACTAACTATTCACTATTGATCTGATGGCTTTCGTCTTCTACTTAGAAGTAGAATCTTTCTTCCATGCACGTACGGAGAATCCCAACAACCTGAGATTCTACGTTATAATAATGCAAATAATTAAAGATACAAATATTATAGAATTTACAAGGTTTTTAAGGGTAGATAACTTCTTACATTAGAAGCAACTCAACATAATTATTTCCATAATTCCTCAACCTTCTCAACTGGCAAATGCATCCATTCATATGGGCAAAATCTAGATACCGTTAAAACACCAGTTGAAGTCAAACCAACTTCAATGGGAGCTAGAACCCTGCCTCAACATAAATAAAAATTGATCCGTGGGATGTAATTATACCAGCTGACACAAATTCTTTTGACAGAGAGTCATAGAACTCTGTTTCCCAAGCAGCACACTAAGCAAGTGCCCTACTTATCTGACTACAGCACAACAAACTAAAAATACAATGCTAAGCAAACTGCAGCTGTAACTGCAGTACATCTACAGCCGACCAGGCATAAAAAAGTGCTGCTCCTGTTGAATGTAAACTCCTAGGTTCTAAAAATCTACCTGCTCTTGGCTCCTAAAGCATAGGCCATAACTTCTTGTATTCTGAGCACAAAATGTTAAACTGGTCAATCTGATATTAGAGTGCGGAAAGGCTATTTCAAATAGAAAAAGAAGGGAAAAAAGGAAAGAAAAAGAAAAACTTGAGAGCTGAGACTCCATGAAGATCTTAAAGTCACCAACATGTTTTGTGAAGGAGTCAGCGTAGCTTCCATGACAAAAATGTCCCTGGCTTCTTATCCAGGGGCTACGTACTCACCTGCTGCTACCTTCTACTCTAGAGGCAGGTTCTGGATTCCTTTTGACTTGCAATAACTACAATGAAATGTAAGAATATAAATTATTCCAAAAACAACCCTTTGCAGATTACTCTTGTGCAATAAATTGCTACTGTGAAATTCTATGCTGAGGAGTATCTTGCTGCCACCTGTGACGGGCTTAAAGATCAAGTTGGTATGGTAGTACAGGTGTAAGGAGAAATATAAGGAGAAGATGCCCATTTGTTCATTTCTGATACGATTATACATCCTAGAAAAAAAGGAAAGTGTAGGGGAAAAAAGGTTGGACTAGAGTTCGAACAGCCAGGTCGAAAGTTGAAAAAAGAGCCTTGTAGAAGTTTAACAAGCCCTCATTTGCCATGCTGCAGAATCATCACATATAATAACGCCTTTCTTGCTATGCACATTATACAAACCAAGGTGTAGATCCCGTAATTTGATCCATGTGGTATTCTAATATTTATTTCCACAGGGGACACTGTGCAGGCTGACCCCTTCAGCCACTTTCAAAACTAAGGCCAATGTGCTCTCAATCATGCTCATGCACCAAGACTGCAAGCTCAAGGCCTGCTAAAATGGCTCAGTTCTCAAAGGTACCTCAATGAAGGCTGCTCACAGGCTCAAGCTCTGAGAACTTAGTGTGCAAAAAGGCATTTACAACGTATGAGAAAGTACTTTAAAAATCTAAATACCTATTTCATGGCAGACTCATTCTTCAAAACCCTTCCAACAAACCAGACAGACATTGTGTTTCTCATCAGTTCCAATGACTGATTACAGAGGCAATAATTCTCACAAAACTACAGGAAGTAAAAAAGGGTGGAGTGGGAAAGAAACAGCTTTCGGTCAAACCCCTGCTTTGAAGCAGCTTACTGGAATAGAGACTGCAGTTTTACTACATAAAGTATATATGCCCAGCACAGTGACTGGGCTAGGGTCTCTGCTGCTTGGTGAATGTTAAATTTACTGGTTGGAAAAGAGATTTTTCCATTCTACGGTGAAATCTAGCATCCTTATTTGATTTAGTTCCGAGTCAGATTGAGAAAATAAAAGTTGATAGGCTTTTTCTAAAATGGAAACAATGAAGAACTTAATGCTGGATAAACAGAAACATTTTGTTTCAATGAAGTGAAAGGCTTCATTTTGATAATCCTGAAACATGCTGATTTTGGCAGAGTGAATCTGCCTTGGACAGGAGGATGGGAATCTGTTCTTGGGGTGCCCTCAGGCCTTGCTCCCTGTTATTCTTTCAGATATAAACTATAATAAATGATTGTGAATATTATCACAAACATAAATGTCAAACAAACAATTCGAAAAGATATAGGACAAAAATTAATGATCATAATGATGAATATCTACCAGATCAAAATACTCTCATAAAATGAGAAATTTCTCACAATCTTTTCCCGACTTTTTTTTCTGGTGAATATTGCACTGACCTACAGAACATTCAGATGTTTATGAAAGTACAAGCCAATGAAAAACTGCTCCAACTAAAGTTTTTCACCCATCTCTAGCTCTGACAGGTGGCACGCTCCCACTGAGAACGGTAAACCTTCTTGTCACGTACAGCACCATGGAGTCAAAACGCACCATGAAAAAAACTAAAAGGGGAATTTTATCTTTGCTTTCCACCTTTGTTACCTTCATACAAATTTCTATTTCCAGCAAAGGCAGCTTTCTGGAGAAACTAGCTGCACAAACCTCCTTGTATGCTACAACTTAAAAATAGGAGCCCCCCACCACACTGAGGTGAACGATTACGGATAGTGGAGGGCAATAACATAGTCAGGTCCTCCATAGCCGACGTGTAGCTCGCGCTCTCCTGCAGCTACGGCCTTACTCACAAGCATTTATGCAACAGAGCCCCATCCTCCTTACCATTGCCTTGCTACAGCAACTACCTGTGTCACGCACAGGTCACTAAGCAAGAGAGAGACCGCACTGTGCTGTTGGATGACTGTTATCGGCAAGGACTAGCTTTGTCAGGCCTATCGGGTGGCATACTGCCAACATATACAGCCAAGCACTGCAGTCCTTCCCATCACATGATGCAACACACACTGGTGACTCATGGCACAAAGACAGGCCTGAATCGCCTCTCGTAACCGCATGACTCAACAGCTTGTATTTTGACAATATACATGGACACGTGTATTTCAGGGAGCACAGGTTACCTCTTCTGGTTCATTGAAGCCAGCTGACTCCATTCGTTTAGGCAAGGGTTGTAACAATGGGCAGCCGAAATCTCCTGGCTGGTGATCCGGTAACCCCCGACAATGAACAGGTAGTTGTCCAGCATCGCCGACCCATAGCCTCGGACGTTCACCAGATCAGGGGGCATATTGTTGGCTAGGGGCAGCCACCTCTGGGCTTCCTCATCGTACCTCAGCATTGACCAGGGAGCTTCCACCTGAGGGTGACAGCCCGGAGGCAGGCCCAGGGAGGAGGCGCCCATGAAGTCCCCGATGGCCACAAGGGTAGCAGTGCCCTTCATCCGCCTCTCCCTCAAGTGTTGCTGGAGAGCATGGGGCAGAAGGAGATGTGGCCGAGCATCAGGCCTCCGCAGCACCTGATGGTAATGGGCAGCCATGAAGTCTAGACAGGCATCGTGCAAGTCCTGGAGACCGTAGACCTGAGCCAGGCGGTGCAGCTCCAAGCAATTGCCCAGCCTCACCTGGGAGAGGAGCAGGCGGAGCAAGGGAGTGACCTGCAGGTAGGAAGCGGCCTCCACCAGCTCCTCCAGCAAAGGGGGCTCCTCATCACCCCCCTCCTCCTGCTCCAGCCTGGCCAGGCAGGAGGTGTTGATGAAGTCCAGCACCAGCTCCAGCCCCAGAGCGCTCAGCCCCCCACGCAGCAGCTGCTCCTCCTGGCCTTGCCCTGCCTCCCGCATGCCCGAGCGGTACAGGGCGCGGAAGTAGTCGCTTTGCTCGATGAGCTTCCTCTTGCACACCGGGTAGCACTTGTCCCCCAGCCGGATCTGCACCACCTCCTCCCCCGCGCCGGCCCCATCCCCT